GTATTGAGCAGGCTTTTTTATTTTATTTTTTTTGGTGTTTTCCAAAATTTTGGTTTTAAATGCCAATTTCTGTTCATTTTCTGAAATAAAACGTTTGTGGAAAATATTTACAGGTTTTTTTGTATTTCATGACCTTGTTTATTTGAAATGTTACTCCCAATGTTCTTCCAAAAGGCAGATTATTGTGATGATGTTTATGATGCCAGCTCTAAAAATAATGTAAACAAAGTGAATGCAACTTTAGTTTTGCAAGTCAAGCACCCTTTAAATTTGTCTTTATTTCAGACTGGAACTGTTTATACGAAAAATAGTGTCAAAGTGTATTTTACACCACAGCAAATGTTAATTAATATGACCTTTCCCCCCCTGTATAGTTTTGTACTTCAGAACAGTAGAAGGAATTTTCCACGCCGCCTGTCTCCTCTCACGACCCGTCCGCTTTTGGACCCAGAATCCTCCGCGCCAGGGCAACATGGAAGAAAGCAGCAGCCACAGGAGAACAATGTTTTGGCAATAAATCCCCCGAGCGGCGAAGACGGAGACAATATAAACGCGTTCGAAACTAACTGCGGTCATGCGTAGGTGAGTGGGGAAGTAAACAGTATTTTTACTCGAGCCGAGCCGTCGGCCTTTCTCGACATTTTACACGAATGATGGTCCCGACTCTWGTGTGTGCAAGACGGAGAGCCAGCATCATTGTTTCTGTTGCCTGGGCCCTAATGCGGGTTTTCACACGGGGCAGCTAACGGCTAACTAGCTAGCTCGTGGCAGTTTTAATTGTTATAAACACAACTGCCTCGAGCTAGCGTTCAGTGCGCTTCTTTCAGTACTTTTAAGTCCACATGGAAGCCTAATCGCTTGATAAATATTTTCGCCAGCCACCCCCGGAGGCTGGTAAGCATTATCTGGTGGTAATTACAGCCAAAGTTAGCTATCAATAAATAGAGCGCCAGCGCTGCTCGCAGCCAGACAGATTTGATTTCACTGGCGTCATCAAAGCTGGGKAATAAGAGCGATACGTGCCGTAGAGCCAACTTCAAAGTAAATGTGTTTCTTAATCGTCTTTCACCAGGCTTTTTAATTCCAATCCTGTTTAACTCACGGTAACTGATTATTTGAGTGCCTTTAAGGATTTAATTTCTAAATAGTTGCCATAATGCTTAAATCGCGTTAAATTGCGAGTCCTATTTTAGCTTAGCTAACATGATAGCAACTGCGTGTAACATGCTAGAACATTACGTTGATAATAACGATTGAAATTAAAAATATTTTACTATATCTGGGGCTAATAGTGGCGTTTTACCTTTTAGTGTTAGTCGAGGTTTTTGACGGATTGAAAGTGATTTTGAGGGGAAGTCTTAATSGATTGTTTTGGTTGAGAACGCAAAGATGCTTTGATTGTGTCTCATTGTGGCTAGCTAACGATGCTAACTAGCTGGCTAACTATTATGCATCACAAAAGCTCAWCCGCTTTTTTGCTGATTGCGATGTGGCGGAGCCAAATGGTCAGCAGGTCTAGACTAAACAATAAATTCTCGCTTGGTCTCATGGTCCAGTCAGTGTGTGCTTGGCTACACGTCCCACTTAAAGTCCTGCTCCTGCTTAAAATCTCATAAAATGACTCACTGGATTTGACCTCATTTTCGTTGTGTTTTAGACAAGTGAGCTCAACCGAATAATTCGCCAGTGGTGCAGCCGGTCGTGTTCCTGGTTTTTTATTTTTATTTTTGCGTTAATTGCTGGTTTATTAGTAAAACAGTGGCGTTTTGACGTGACCCAGCTTGCATCAAACAATATAAACAATAGGGATGAATGTSGAAATGCTATGAAGTCACCGCAGATCATGTTTTGGCGACAGTCCCAAGTCGTATGGGTTGCTAAATGCGGAATAAACATCGCTTGTGCTATTTTTATTTATTTATTTTCTTCAGAATTAACTGGAAAGTTCCACATTTTGCATTAATTATCGCATCAAACGCCCACATAATGTAGTTGATTGACAGTTTTAATCTCCAGTGTGTGCTTTGTGACTCTTGATTTACTTTAATAACATCAACATTTATGTTTGTTGGAATTTGTTATGGTGTATGGATGCAAGCACATATACAGCTTTTTGTTGTTTGTTTAAGTGTGTGGCTTTACTCAACAGTGGTCTTTATCTGATGGTGATGTAGTAATAAAGCTTGAAATAAATCATTTTGAAGTAACGATTTCTTCATTACCCCTCTGTATTTTTTTTATTGTAGATTATTTATTTTTGATGGTGAGGGAGGTTTTCCGTAATCTGTTTTTGTGTGTGTAGTCTAAATGTGTTTCAAGTTTACTGAAATTATCTGTAAGCTTGTGATCAGTTTCCTGTTTGTCTTCTATGGTTCTAAACAAAATCTGTTTACATAGAAGATGCAAGACATTACCCATGGATTCTAGACATTTCATGTTAGTTTTCATCACTTAAATAGTCAAATTTACAGTTTGGTTACAGCCTTGCCATTGGCATAGAATATACTGAAAAGGTTGTTCATGTGGTGTTAAGGAAGAACTTCCAAAATGTGGCTTTTATGAAGACATAAACATACCTTTTTATCTGTCTTCTCTTTCAGAATGATCTCCTCCTGCATTCCTAATTAGATTAATCGCCCTCCTTCTCCCCCTGCATAAAGTAAACCACCACCATGAGTATTATCCAAGACAAGTTAGGCAATGAGTTTTTGCGCAATGGAGGCATGGACCCCAATTTTCCATCAGGCATGCTCATGTTCAGCCACCTGCCTCCAGTCACCAGCTTCACACGGCTGGCCTCCCAGCCTGTTATGGGTGAACTTCCCCAGGAGATGATCCTGAAGAAGGAGCGCGACTCTCCTCCAGAACACCAGGGTACCATTGCTGCAAACTCAGGGGGCTTCCTACACAGCATGGGCATTAAACAAGAGCGGCTAAGTGAGCTGGATTACAGAATGCCCCTCTACGGGAGTGGAGTAGGGGTGAGCTGCGCTGGAGGGGGCTCAGGGAAAAGTGGTACTGACATGCCAGATATGTCTTTCGGCAACCAGCACCAAAATCACCAGAGCATGCTCCTGCATGACCTCAGCCTCAGCAGTGTTCGTACCTTGGGAGAACCGGTGAGAGGGGGGAGGAATTATGGTTATAGCTTGTTTTTTGCTGGTTTCTTTGCTTTGTTTTTTTTTCTACTATAGATACTGTATGTGATAGATGTATATTTATAAATTGTTTAAAAGAAACATTTACTGCCTTTCTCTTAATTGAGGTACTTTTATCTTGCATTTATCTTTTCTTTTAGATGCCTGGACGACCAGGTAAAGAGCCAAAAGAGTCCTCAGGTAGAAGAGGGAGGAGGAGCAATGGGGATGGGCAAGGAGGCAAAGCTAGAAGGAAACGCAATGATGCCGCAAAGGTTAATCACTATGCCTTTAGCTGAAAAAACGTCTTTGCATCCAAGTAACGTTGCTCGATTTTAGACTAACATAAGTATATTTTGTGCATTTCTCGTAGGCTATGATGTTGGAAGGAGATGGAGCCTGCCTGTCCCCGAACTCTAAACCACATATCTGTGAGCACTGTAATGCTGCCTTTCGCAGCTCTTACCACTTACGTAGACATGTGCTCATACACACAGGTGAGAAATTTTCATGTCTTTGTCCATAGAATTTATACATACGTATGTTATACAGTAAAACATAAAGCTTTTTTTTTTTAGGTTTTATGGATAAAAATCTAACAATATGAGCTGCAGACAGTAAAGGTTAAAAAGTAACAAAACAATAAAACCTATGCAGTTTGCTTCTCTGTACCACCAACAAATAATAAATGAATTCTACAGCCTCAGGATTTTAACCATAAAAGCATGATCAAACCATGAGTAACACTGCTTTTATCCAAGTCAGCTATTCAAACTCTTTAACAGATCTGAGGGAACAGATCGTATGGTAGGGAACACTTTTCCCTACCATGAGTATTTGGGACTTTGAGGTCCTTTTTTAAAACCAGACGATCACTAAATGCAGCGATGAGTCAGTTCTTACTCATGTATTTCTCGACATCTAGTCATTCTCTTTGCTGAGAATTCCTAGCTTGGTTTGTTTAATGTTAAAACACATAAAGGCTTTAAGGGATAAGTCACACAATTTGAAAGCTTTTATACAGTACTGCAAAAGCTTAGTCATCATTACTTAGTATTTTACTTCTGAGGAACCAGACATTGTTGCAGTTTTCTTATAGTAATTTTGAGCTATGTTTTTTCAGGCTTTTTAAAGGTCTTTAAATTTATCTGTGGATATTGAACTGTAACTTTGAGTGGTGGTTTTGACAAAAAAACAATAACAGACCTTTGATAGAACATACTTTAGGATCAACAGGCCTTCTTTTTAACATGGTGTGTGAACGGTTGTCTCCAGGTGAGAGGCCTTTTCGTTGCAGTCAGTGTAACATGAGCTTCATTCAGAAATATTTGCTCCAGCGGCATGAGAAAATCCACAGTGGTGAGTTTGAGTCCTTACAGTTGAAATAGTCTTTCTGCTTTAATCTTTTTAATTGCATCATCTCTGATGGTGTTTCTGTTGTTGTTTCAGGGGAGAAGCCTTTCAGCTGTGACCAATGTAACATGCGCTTTATTCAGAAGTACCATATGGAGCGACACAAAAGGACACACAGTGGCGAGAAACCGTATCGCTGCGATACTTGCCAACAAGTAGGCACTTTTTAATTTGCTGTCTTTATATTTTCACTCAACTTCATTTTTTTTTAAATTGTTTTTTAAGGCTTTTTATTAAGCTTTATGTAAACTGAATGTGAGTAGTTATACTTTAGTGAGGATTTAGAAAGTTTCTTTTCATGTTGGACTCTGGTTATGCAAACTACTAATCTGTCTGTATAGGGTTAGTTAATGTTTTCAATGCAGTTCATACTGAGATTTTTTTTCTTTTTATCTATTAGTTCTTTTCAAGAACAGACCGGTTACTGAAGCACAAACGGACTTGTGGAGAAGCCATAAAAAAGGGTCTAGATCCAAACATGCTGGAGCTCAATGGAACAGAGCTTGGCCAGGGCAGCTATTCACTCACTCAGGGAAACTCTACCACCTCTGGACGCAAGAGGTCAAAGTCCAAAAATGGTGAAGGTGGTGAACGCAAGAAAAAGAAGAATGCGTCGGCGACCTCATCTTCTAGTGGGATGCCCCACGACCTGGGCCTGCAGGACTTCAGCATGGAACACCCGTCAGGCTCTGATCCAGTCATGCAAGGACGTGCTCCCAAAATGGTCTTTAAAAAAAATGGTCGCAAAGGGCTAGATAAGGGCCTCCTCTCGCTGGAAGATGGTACTGATGGACAAAAACTGTTAGGTCAGAAGCCTGGTGCCATGGATCATGTGGAGGGCCCTGGACTTGATAACATGGGTCTACTGGGACCTGGGGGCGGCAAGCCCGGTCCCGCCACCAGCAGCAACTATGATGATGCAATGCAGTTTGTCAAAAAGCGGCGCTACCTCCATGCAGTTACCAGCGACTATGGAGCCAGTACACTTCACATGGCATCCCAGGGTAGTGTGATTCAGGGTTCCTTGGGACCAGAGCCCACTCTGGCCATGCTGGACTCCTCGCCGCTGGAGCTCAAGCACGACAAGTCAGGCATTCCAGACGAGGTACTGCAAAGCCTGCTCGACCATTATAGCCATAAACCAGAGGGAACACACCACCACGATGTGACTTTCGACCTGTCCGACCACCCACACCATGTAGACCTCCAGCCAGCAGCCCCGGTTACTCCAGAACTGGAGGATGATTCCCCCAATGGTGGCGACAAAACAGCAGTGATGAGTGAGTACTCGAAGTTCCTTCTCCAGGCCCTGGAGCGCACCAGCCATAGTGGACCCTTCCCCAGCCTTGGTCCAACGGGGCCTTTCCCACTCCTGTCCAGCAGCTCCAGTCCCACAGGGCCCTTGTTTTCTGACAAGCACTCATACACCACTTCTCCACTAGATTGTGGCTACCCACCTACTGTTTCCTCTCCGCTGCCCATTGCAGCCCCTTCGTCCTCCTCCTCTGTGTCCTCCTCCAAGTCCCACTTTGGAATGCTAGTGGGATCCCCCTCCCAGACAGGCTACCACCTCAGCCTGGACTCTACAAGCCACCAGCAGCTGACTCCATCTCAGGAGCTTACCGAACAGTTGGAGAAGCAGCACTCCCCAGGCACCTTCAACTTACCCCCCCAGGAGCTTACCGCCACGGCCGAGGGCTCCAAGGGACAGCAGTCCAAGGCTGTAGGGAGCACTGCACCTACCAACGGCTCCACCTACCCAGACCTGTCCCCACTGAACCCCCCGAAAGAAACCACGTACCAGATCGAGAACTTTGCCCAAGCTTTTGGCTCCCAGTTCAAATCTGGACGGAGGACCCCTCTGAGCTACGGCAGCGACCCCGGAGCAGAGGTCGAACCCAGAATACGGACTCCAGTGTCAGAATTCTCAGGGTATAGCAGCTTGTTAGCTGACGTCAGTGAGCCAGTGAGCACAGGATCAAAAACCCTGACAAGCCAAAGTTTCAGATAAGGGTCAGACAAGGTGAAGCCTGTAGGGGCCTGTTGTGCTACTGTCCGTACGGCCCCTTCACCTGCTCTAATTTTGTTCCTGTAGCAAAGTTTTTGTTTTATGAACACTGCCATTAAATGTTAATAGAGAAATGACCAGGGAGGGTCTTCTATGGCCTCAAATGCAATTTAAAAAAAAAAAATTCTCATTTTTATCATGTAGTCGCCTATGTTTTGTTTAAGAATAGTGATTTTGATATGAACGTACCGTAGATTTAAATGTAATTTAAAACATTTAGAGGGTAGCTATGAACATGCTTGTTTTTATTTTTCCTTCTTTCTCCGAACCTTTGGGTTTTATCAATCATCTTACCATTGTAAAGTGTGAATTATGAATAATGTTGATGATTTCAATAATAATAACGTGGCAGGGAAAGGCCCAGAATTCAAATGGCAAAAAAAAAGTATATATTGTCTGTTACAAGAAACATATTAACTCAGGAAAATAGGCAAATTTGTGTAATAAGACTTTGTATTATGAGATGCAATTAGCACAGTTTTTACAGATGTACTTTGAGACTGCAAAGCTTTGAATTTTGTTTTATTTTTTCACTTGTTTTTTTTTTTTTTTACGTGTTAGAACAAATTGACAGTACATGATAATGTTTGGTTTCTACTTGGTGAAGCTTTGTCGAGATTATGGTACTGTTGTCTCAAGACGAAGACATTCGCATTTCTTCTTTGTGAGAGCCACGTCTACACAAATCAGTACAAACTGTAGCAAAATTCAGCCCGCTGTGCCCTCACAGCATCTTCAAAAAGCGAAGATGTTTCATTTCTGCTGACTGATTATTGCAGCGTTAGTTGGTTAAAACATGAAGCATACAGTCTTCTGTGTGTGTGTGTGTGTGTGTGTGTGTGTGTGTGTGTGTGTGTGTGTGTG